TATAAGATAAATTTGCAAAAAGGCGGGGCATAAAATGACATTTGATGATATTTAAATGGTCAGGCCTTAATGGTGGACTTGGCTGACTAAGTATTGTCCTGACTACTTTCAACAGACTCGCTCTATTTGAACATTGGGATACACACGTGTACTCAAAAGGGGTGATGGTTAAGAGTGAAAATAGTCATTAAATCTCGATTATACAGGACCTGTATCACGTTCTATTCAAATTAATTGTGACTATTAATTTGTCTCATACTAAAAAAACGCGCACACACAAATATGCAAATGTGTCTAGATCGAAATATGGTAAAAACCAACCAAAGAGAAATATATATTACTAGAATATGCATACTGCATGAATGAAATTTTTTATAAAAATATTATTTCTTTTCTACAGAAAGAGCTCCTAAAATGAAAATAAGTTGTTTTCGAATCCATTCCTATGCATGATGACTAGCACACAAATAAAGATACACGAGCAGAAACGCATAAGCATAAATTGAAGATTCACATCTGACATGACCCAACCAAATTACTAAGATTTGTTTATGCGGGCAGCATGTTTGGATAGTTTGGTAAGTGCTTTAGACTCGGTAACCGGAAGTAGTCATAAGTATGCTACAGCTCATGAGTCTAAATCTTGGCATCGATATGGAAGGGTTGTCATAGAGTACAGTGCATATCTCAACACAAGTTGGTATTGACTCCTTTATTACGCGTTGGCACATACGCCAACGCAGACATATATATAGTTATTTTCAGAAGCGCATATGATATAAACCAACTTTGTATTTACTGTATAGTTCCTAAAAATGCCAGAGAGCATTCTTAAGAAAGTAGAGTCTATTCTTGTGGGAGCGAATGAGGTTGTCTTTAGGACTGCTTCCGCAAGAACGTTTAAGTATGGCTGAAATAAACCCGTTCGAACGAGTCCGCCATCATCTTCGGTAAGATTGATTCAAGAGTCTCTTCGTTGCACACTTTCCTTTTGAATGGTAGTGAGCTCAACAAGCATGGCTTATAAACGTCGTAAAGCCGTCTTTCACCTCTTTCTTTGGTTGGTATTAAGACTGAATCCGAGGGCAACCGATGAGAATTTGGAGCCAAATTACAAAGGAGACAGAAATTCTACCTGACGACTTGCAAGTGAATCTAAGCAACTCATTGCGATCCATTATTAGGCAAGCTTCTTTTTAAGTCCTAAACCGAATTTTATTTCTCAAAACCGAGCATGACAAAAATAGAATACCATAAAACCTCCCCTTTTGGGCATCCCAGTGAATGTGAATCAGAATTTGATGACAATGGACAAATTGAGGTTGCACTTTTTTACTGGTACCAATGAAGCCAGGTACCTACGGTCAGTTACCTTGTCAAATAACCAGATCTATTTTGAAGAGTTTAATGAAGAATGGTTCTGACGATCCAAATTGACCCCGTCGCCAAAGTCTGGTTTGACTCATATTCAATTATTTACTCCTTTCTTTCTAGTATTTGGCCTCCTTGCCCCATTTCGGAGAGGATATAGCTTGAATTTCAGAGTCTAAAGAGCAGCCTTCAATAATGTATCCTCAAAAGGCCTCTTTGCTTGATAAAAGTCGCTTTGGCTTCAGAATGTAGTTCTTGAAGTACCAGTGAGCCTCATCTCGGGAGATGCAATCAAGCAAGCTGCATAAGTTCTGACTTCAAATAATCCAGTTCCAACAACTCGAAGCTACAAATTAACAAGCACGCACACTCTCATGAGCACATGTGCATAGATCGAAAAACAATGCGCCCACTCTTTGCTTCATATATAATCATAATATCAGATTGTGCATACAGCATGTAGAGCTAAGCGAGTGAGTTCTTTTGAGACTTCACATTAAAGTAGCTTTAGATTGGTACGCTCCATCAGGATTAACAGGTCATTCTAAAACGAATGGTTCTATATCGACAATAAGGTGGTTCCTAACTATTACCTACATATGATCACATATGCACAAAAACACAGCATACATAGCCACAATGTTCTATTTAAGTGTTGGTGTGAGGCCTAAAATGAGTCATTTTGATAAAAGTTCTGGTTGAATGGTATAACAGGTGAGGAAGGATGGATAGTTGAAGTTGCCCATAATCATACAAATAGGCCTCAAGGCTCAGGATTCTCTCATATCACATTCAATGTGAGAAAACTTCTATCTTAAGATGCATTTATCCTACTTCGTTTAAGATGATGAGGGACTGGTCTTTGAATTTTTCCACCATCCTATGAGTAGACCCCATGCTTCCAGCGAATTTTACATGGCCTTGCTTCACGAACGACTGCAGTTTCGACTTTGCCTAAACAGGCCCCATTTTCATCCCAGGCGGGACTCGAGCTCGGCTCGTAGCTAGGCAGCATATCACCAGCCACGAATGCCCATGGGTCACAGGAGAAATGTGAATTCCAAGGAGAGCCGGGCATTTTTCCATATCACATTCAACTGCCAGTCCTTCATCAACGTGAACGAAATAGGGTGAATAGATCTTATAAACGAAAAAAGTCTATTTTGCCATTACAATCAAATAGGCTACTCAGTTTCGAATGAAGTAAGTAGGTGAAATTATCAGCAAATCTTCAATAAGTGTTCCGGTCAACCTGGGAATCTTTCAACAATACGATATGATAAGAGGTAAAATTCAATTATTAATCTTATTAAAGAGTGATTGACAGTCTCGAAAACCTACATTATATGATCATAAGTCGTGTCTTTTCGTACAGGGTATATCGTAGATTTCAAAGCGAAATACTTTTAACGGCCCGTTACATTGAATGTAGCATCATTATATGGTCTCCGGGATAACTTCCTCCCTCCAACTACGAGGGCATACAACAACTTTATTTTTCCTTCTTTGCTCATTTTTCGCCAGCACGGCTCTATGCTTCAAAATGAGCGTCGTCCCGAAGTCTGCGCCCATCAACCTGCGAAGGCCGCCTCTTCTGAATCCTCTTCGCCTTCTCGTCCGTTACTACCCCAAACGGTGGCATCCGCAGCGGTCCCAGCCTCACCTTCCGAGACACTTGGTCAATTGGAGCTTCCGACGATCGAGAAGTCAACGAGACTCGAACCGAAGTCCGAGTTGTCTTCGCCTCTGGCATGCTTCGGCATGGATACAGATGCTGCAACTCCCTTCACCTCCCCCCCTTCAACGCAGGCGTCCGGTCTGGCCTTAGCAGCCACGGAATCGAGCGACAGCGCCGAAGACCTTCAAAGGTTGTGCTCGGAACGACCCGAGGCGGGTGGGGCGCAAGAAATTAGCCGGGCCGTCAACGACTGGCTGCAGTCGAGGCCGCGGCGGTTGTACCACAACGAAGAGGTGGGATTTTTTCTGTGACAAACCTACCGACTCTGTAAAGTGGGTGGGCTCAAGACGGACGCCCATCGAGTCCCATTTCCGTTGGGTTCGAAGTCGATCAAGAGTTTCAGACTTTGAGTAGATACAGAATAGGAAGCGTGATGTTGAATTGTCCCACTTTAACTAACCAAGGCTGACCAAAACTTTGGCTCGCAATTACTCACTTTCTGCTCATATGCTCTGCCCCCGGTTCCCTTTGCGTGCTCTTCCGCCTCCGCCGAGGCCAGCTGGACTCGGGGCCCATGCAGTTGTGCTACATCAGCGAACTGGAGGAGGATCGCGAGACGAACCCTCCGCCCGGGCTGGGCCAGCCCGGATTCTGTCAGACGCCACGGCAGGAGGATGAGTCGGAGAAAGCGGATGGCAACACGAGATTGGGACAACCGGAACCGGAACCTGAACCGGACGAGATGGAGGAGTGGAGTCTGCGACAAGTGATACCGAAATCGAGTCACTTCTTAGACAACCGAGGGGCCTTCATCGCAAAGCAAGTGAGCGCCAATCTGCAATCATCCCATTCCTTTCCTTCATCGGAGCCGGACAACGAAGATTTTGTTGGTCACATTTTCCATTCCCTCCATTCGTATTATTAGTAATTTGTTTTATTATTATTATATATTTTATTTTTAGTTACTTTTACTTTAATTTATATTTATCTTTTAATATCAAATACTTTCGTTTCGTGGCTCGATTCTCAACCTGATTCTCGTTAAGCAATAGAAAATGTGTCGTTATTCCAATTAGGCGCTGCTTTCGAAGAGGTTCAAAAGCAAAATTTCTGGACTACTCTTAGGTCATGTGGCTGGGCTAAAACTGAACTTACTCCCATTTCGAGTGGAAATGTTG